GTGATCCTCCAGCCAAGCTTTGGTTTGAGGGTCTATACAAATGAAAACATAACCAGATTTATTGTAAGTACAATGTTAATCGGAATGATAGATACTGCGACATTTGATAGAATCACAGCATTCTCACCTCCAGGATATCCAGAACCAAAGTCCCTCTGCATGTTCTCAGCAGTCTCATCAAGTACCCATTCTCTTAAAGCACGGTCCCTTGTAACCTGAAAGATTGGATTAAAGTTGTAATTAAGCTATGGGGCTGTGAGACTTCACCCAAGGAATTTTTATAAAGGAGATCAGTACCTTTGCAACTATACTTGCACCACTGACAACGGGGTAAAGGCTGTCAGCCTTCTTTGCAACCACAAATTTGATGGATGGAAAATTTCTAGACAGCTTCATTTCATATTTCCCTGCATCTCCAACTGTGTCTATATACACCTGAAAGGAACAAATTATGTGTTTCTCACATCAGTAATTGAATTACCATTTTCTTAATATCACCCCTATACACTTAACGATAACAAGTTTTAACAGACTCTCTTTCGGTACACAATTCCACTACATGTTCCGAAGAAAAGAAACTAAACAACCAGTGTTCATTGAAAGTGAAATTCATGAATAAGAGCTTGTTTGAAAGAACATCCAGTTGAACATAACTAACATATTTCTCAATATATCAACATTGTAGCTCGTTAGTTATTTGAACTGAAAAATGGCCTCGTGGTAGGGAGAAACGGCCATCCAAAAACACACAAAAGAAGTGGCATGGGCACCAGCCTTATTGAACCTCAAATCATTTGAGCAATAGATAAATCAACTTATCATATAAATTGGGCAAGGTTTTGACCTCGGTTAGAAGCACTCCCATTTTTAGCACCCTATCAATGAGGCCCATGGCAGAGTCATGTGAAATCTCATTCAAGTTTATCTTATTCCTGTCAAAAACACAACAACAAAAAGTCTAGCCAGTAAACAGAAAACCCAGTGAAAACCGGAATGAATAAGCTTGATCAGTTTACTTCTTAAGCATTTTAGCAGAGAGTTCCCGGGGATCAATGACATCAACAGCCCATCCAATAGAATCATTAGTCTTTAAAGTTTCAAACAATTCTTCCCTCTTCTCTTCCTTTAGTGTCTTAGAATCTACACCAACAAAATTGCAAGGGTGAGACCTCCAATTTCAATCGATTAAACTACTAAGTGAAAATAGTAACACATTTTGTAAAAATCCTACCAATAATATACGATATTGAGAACAGATAATAATAATTTGTCATTGTATCGTACCTGCAAAACTCAATGTGGCTAGGGTTTTCAAATAGGACTGAGCACAGTACAAGCAACCGTAAACCATAGGTCCTGAAATGATTTCCAAAATATGTTAAAAGTGAAACGAGAAAATGAAAAATTGGAAAAAGGGAATGCAAACCTAAAACAGGGCCTCTTCCAGCTTCGTCGATTCCCATGGCGCAGGGTTTGGATGCCCATTGCGGAAGAATTTTGGATCCCATTCTTTATTTCTCTGTAGTGAAGCGAAAAGAGCGAAAAATATATTTTTGCTGTGAAACGGTGTATTGTCAAGGCAACTTTGTTTTTGTTTCCCGCCACAACCCGGAATTAGGGCATCCTGAATTTTTTTAGCAACGCATGAGAAATTTAGAGTTGTGAATTTTTTGTCACATACCATAGGACTTGCTTCTCATCACGTGGAACAAAAAAAGAAGTTTATAATGTCAGAAAAGTTCCTTAATTAAAAATTCACAGGTTAAAAATATGTACAAAAGTATCATGGTTAGGTTAGATAATTTTTTTTTAAACATGAAAAATTATTAAATTTTTTAAAATACATGAATAGATATTCGGTTTATGTCGGTGACATCTAATTTAAATTAGACCAACTAGTTATGACCTTTGGTCCGATCTGCATTAATCTTACATTTCAGTTTGAACTAGAGATGATAATGTATATCCATTACTCGACATGCAACAGAATCTGTTTCGTTAGAACATTTAGAAAATAAAAATCATTAAAAAATTAATAGGTCTATACTAAACATATTCGAAGTAAGTAATTTGGGAGTAAAATAATTTTCTATACATTCACTTTAATATTTTTATTGGTAAAAACTTATTGAAAGTAATACCTTTTGCAAGTTTTTTATTTATTTATTATTTAATGACTTTTCCTTCTGTTATACATCTACAAATAATACCATTTTAATATACTTAAAATACATATATATTAATTGTAGAGGTAATAATTTTTAAGTATAAAAAAATTACATAACTCAAACCAACTTTTTAATATAAATATAAATTTTCAAGTTTTTATAGTTACAAAGAAAAAAAAATCTTTTTAATATATATAAATTTAATTCTTACGGAAAATACCATAAATAAAATAATATGTATGATAAGAAAAAAAATAAAATAATATATATTAATTTTGGCCTATATGTTATTTTTTATTTTTAAGTATTAAGTTAACAGAAAAACATTACTTTAAGATGACATTATTTTATTAAAAAAACAAAAAAAACAAGAAGAATTATATTTAAACCACATATCAGTACTAAGGCGCCAAAATTGGATCAATTCCCAACTCTTTTCAAAATCCTTACTGTAGCACCATCATATACTTCCTTCAATAAAAAAAGACACAGGAAGACGAAGAGCTGGAAGGCTAAGGCCGAAGGGACTGGAGTCCACCGCTGTTGGAGCGTCTCAAGACCCAAATCAGGTTAGAAACACTGTCCCTTTAATGATATAATTTTCTATCAAGATTATAATTGTCTATCAAGATTTTTTATAAGTTTGTAAACCTAAATTGTTTTTATAATTGTGTATCAAGACTGTTTTCTAATGTTTTTGCATATGCACCTATTTAGTCTTTACTTGTTTTTAGTGTCATCTTTTATTCTAGGTTGATTTCTTGATATATGGTTCGAGAATCAGGTTTTTCAAGTCTCAGAGAGATCTTGATATTTACTGGCCCTTGGATGCATCTTCTAACTTTGAGTCTGATCCTCAATATAATTCCGGCAGGATGGTTCTAGGCTCTGTCCAAAATCCTATAAGGTTATAATCCTAACATTTTTCACAAGATGTTTTAGATAATAATAGTTAAATATGAAAATGTAAATCATGTTTCTGACATGCAATAAGATTTGCCATGTTTATTTCCTCTATTTTGTGATTAGTATTTACTATTTTATTATTGTAAACAGTTGGTCGTATTTTCTTGATACTGTTAAAACCGTCTTATCTCCAAAATATCAATAGTAGTGCAACTTAAGAAGAAGATGAATAAGATGAATGAAATCTAATCTCAACACATCTCTTAAAACTCAATTACAACCAATAGTAGATCAATAGTATTGATTAAAACCATTACAAACACGATTTCATTGAATCTAATTTAAATTTAAATATTGAATTATTTTCATAAATTTCTAGATTATTTTATTGATACTAAACATATTTAGTTCACTTGCTGAAATTGATTTTGAATTAGATAAGTCTAACAACAAGTTTTTTTCTTTGGAAATTATTTGATTAAGATAACAGAATATTTATAATCAAATTAAATTGTTATATTAATTTGTAGATATATAAAAATTAATAGACTTACTCATATTTTTTTAGCTGTTATATAACATGTTCTACTCAACTACTTCTTCTTACATGTAAAGAAGAAAATATAACCAGATCTTCCTATTGGACTTTGAAATAGAAAAACAATTTTGAGGTTCATTATAATTTATAATCCAATCTATGTAATATAATATTTATAGTCTAAATGGATGTAGTATATGTGATTTTTTTTACATTGATAGTCTAAATAAATGTAAACAAACTTATTGATTTAGTATTTTTTTTTCTTTTATAAATTTGGATTATTTTAAAGATTTATATGAGGGTTTAATATTGATATATCCCAGTGTCATTTAGGTTAAATCTCTAATTGATATAAAATAAAATACTAGAAACATCAAACATTGAAGGTCTTTTTGTTTAACATAATATATAGTCTCAAAATAAGCTGTAAATATTATTGGCACTTAGCTGCACCCACAGGAAGGAAATTCTCACCTGTGATAATCTAAAATAAAAATTATAGGCTTAAACATTATTTTCAATTTTATTCTAATATAAAGTAAACAATTGTGTACCCGAAAAAGTTATGAGAGGTAAGTATTTGAACTAACATTATTAAGTGTTGCATATGAAGTTATTAAGTGTTGCATATGAAGTGTTTATTGTGCAAGACAGTGCAATTGGCATGACAGTGCAATTGGCATGACGGAGAAATTAAATTTAAAATATCATATTTTCTCTAATCAAACAACTAAAAACTCTATTTATTTAAAAAAATTAAATTACAAAAAAAAAGGTAATTAAATCAAAATTTCACATAAGCAGTCACTTACATAACTCAAAAATTTTTTAAAAGATTTTAACTTCAAAAGATGATATATATAGATAATAAACTGAAAGTATCCTACTACAATATTTTTTTTGTATTCTATAAATTAACAGTAGTATCGTTTTCAATAATAGAATATCAAATTTAATGTTTTTTTTATGGAAAATATCTTTTTAATAATTTTTTTTTTACTTTTTATAAATTAGTGTGTGATTGGTCCGTTTGAAACAGTGATACATTGTAAAAAAAATATCATGGTCTTTTTTTATATGTTTCAACCATCGTTTAAAAGCTTTACAAAGACAATGAGACAGCTAGAGCACGCCTACTTTGACTTACAAGAGTAGGTGCAAGCATTTACCATAAATGAAGATTTCAGATTTCAAATTCACTGGAACGCATGCTGAGCCTGATGAGTTTTTAGAATTGCAGAATTGCACACACGTCATTGGATTGGAAAGCAAGCTGCCCGATTCGCATGCTGCCCGGTTGAGTATAGCAGTGCAAAACATTACTTATATATATATATATATATATATATATATATATATATAATTCCCAACTTCAGATTTCTCTCATGGCTTCTCATCTTGGTCAGATAAGTGCAACTCTTCCAATCCATTTTTTCAAGATTATTCTTGAAACTAATATTGAAAGGATAGTAAGTGTTATTCATATTTTAGTATACTTGTCCTTTCTAAGCAAAGTAATTTAGGTGTGCTTGCATGAGATGTATGTATCTGCATCAGATGTTTCATATTTGTTTTTTCTTTTTGCTTAATTTGGAATAGATTACACCTGCATAACATGCATTATAAGATTTATTAGAACAGAAGAAAAATTCGAAAAATTGCTTGTATATTTATGATAGAAACATGAACCCTTGTTTAGGATACTAATGCTTGGTTCTTTGCAGAAAGTACCTAGTAAGTTTACAAGGAAACATGGGAGTTTTCTGCCAAATCCAGTGTCTCTTAGGCCTCCAGATTCAAAGGAATGGGTAGTATATTGGACACAAGAAAATGGTGAAGTTTGGATAGAAAAGGGTTGGAAAGAGTTTGTTGAAAATTATTCCTTGAGTTATGGATATTTTGTGATGTTCAAATTCAAAGGAACATCCCAAATTGATGTAACCATACTTGAACCAAGTGCTGTAGAATTAGATTATTTTTCTTCTGGTAAGGAATCAGTTAAAACCATGAATGTAACTCAGATGGAGCAAGAGGCCAGACCAATGCCATCAATGGTCTCTTCTCAACCTTGTGAAAAAACCCAGAATGTGGAAAGAGACGCCAATATGCAGCAACAAGTGTATGCAGATAAGGGTGGTCCTTCTCATCAAGGGACAAATGTTCAAAAAATAATCAAGCAACAACCAAACTGTATGTTATTCATGAAAATATATCTACTGCACATAACATGTATGAAAATATACAGTTAGTTAACATTGTTAAATTCAATAGGGGTCTAAAATTTCAAAATGACGAATTCTACTTGTGCAATTCACAGGGGTGAGGTCTACTCTAAGTGGAAAATGTCTGAATAAGCCAAGGTCACTAAAAGCTCAGAAAATAACCAAGAATTTTAAATCAAAATATCCTTACTTCACATCTTTGATAGTGAAGGCTAAGTTGGAAGAGAATGCTACGGTATATAAGTTTTGATACGAATGTTGGTCATTGTTTTAATGAGTTTATTATAGGTTCTGTAGTGAGTTTCTTTCTAACTGTGTAATATTGTTTCTTTATGCAGAAACACGTGCCCAAGTTTTTGAATTGTATGAGTGGCCAGAAGGATGTGATGTTGCAGATGGAGAATAGGGAGTGGTGGGTGAAGTTAATCTGTTGTCGTGAAAAATATGATGTTTTCTCTTCTGGTTGGTCTAAGTTTGCAAAAGAGAGTAATTTGGAAGTGGATGACGTTTGTATCTTTGAGTTGATTGATCCTGCAATTCCGATGCTTCGAGTTCATGTTGTCAAAAGCTAGCTATGTCCATTTACTTTATGTTCTTGTAACTCTTTTAATTTCTGAATTTCTGTCATTTCAGGTTAATCATGCAATGCTTCTGAGAAATTTGAATGAAAATTTTATGTTAAGTGATTCTCTTACTTGATTAATATCTGAATTTCTTATTTTGTTTAAGTACTCGAATTACATAAATAAGCCCTTCCATGTACCCTACTGCAAGTATTCAGTGATATAAAAGATCATGTTCTTCCCCAAACTGAGTGGCCCATGAATGAAGATGTGTTTTCATACAAAAATGATACCAGAGAAAGTTTCTTCCAATCCTTGCTCTGATACAAGCATATGTTTCAGTATCAGTTTGTTTATACTGATAAGCATAGTCATGTGTATCCTGCAAAATAGATCGATTATATTAATTCTGTGTATTCTGCAAAATAGATCGATTATATTAATTCTGTGTATTCTGCGAATTATATTAAAAACAATCAATTATATTAATACAGCTTCTTCAAAATAGATAAATAACTCGCTGTAAGTGTCTGCAAAATAGAACCATTCATTAATTCTGTGTCTTCTGCAAATAATATTAAAAGCAATCTTAATTCTGTGTATTCTGCGAATTATATTAAAAACAATCAATTATATTAATACAGCTTCTTCAAAATAGATAAATAACTCGCTGTAAGTGTCTGCAAAATAGAACCATTCATTAATTCTGTGTCTTCTGCAAATAATATTAAAAGCAATCGACTATATTAATATAGCCTTGCTTCAAAACAGAAAAATAACTCTTGTAAGTTGCGATACTGCTTATTGTTTTTGAACAAAATGGTCAATCAATTTTTCATTTTATTTTTCAGAAGATAGTAATAGCTATTAATGTTTACAGTGAACACATATTTTGATTAAACTAATAAACTAAATCAATAGATTTTAGGCAAACTTTAAGTTATATAGATAAAGTAATTCATTTAATGAGTTATAAATGTGAAAATAAAATATCAAAAATGTACCGTACGGTTCTGATGTACGGTATGGTCTCCTTCTGAGTCGACTGTCCCAGTGCAGTGTCCGCCCAACTAGTTTAGCCAACCGACCGGGCCAAACATCAAGCCAATCATTCTGGCTGACCGCCCATGATCAGACTGCTAATGATAAACGACTCATTAAAGCCCTTAACGAAGAATTAAGGTATGATTGGACTGTCATCAGGCCAGGCCCACGAAAAATAAAATTTCATTACAACCAGTATAAATAAAGGTCTTTTCATACCAGAATGCAATATATACATGCATTACTTACCGCTTGGTTACATTACTAACTTGAGCGTCGGAGTGTCTTTGACAGGTGTCCGCCCGCCATGAAGAAGGAGGAGAAGGACGTCCACCTGAAGTCCGTGGAGCGACGCCCGATCGGTCTTCAACCTAGAGCATGGAGAGACACCCTTATGGCCGCCCACGAATCTGTCTACCCTACCAAAGGATCATCCAGTCATCAGGAACCGTCCAGTCTTCAATGTCAATCCAATCTTCAGTGCAACCAAGAGTGTTTTAGCGGGAAACATCAAAACCTTACCGAAACAAAAAACATGCTCATGTTCTTTTTTTTTAATGCTTTTCTTTTTTCTCTTTTTTAATGCTTTTATTTTTTTACGCAAGTATTTTAGATATTTTTATTGTTTTGTCCAAAAGGTGTTTGTCTAATACAACCTTTAAATTTTTATGATTATTAGTTCTGTAAATACTTAAAAATTTGTGTTCGTTATATATATATCATCGGAGTAAAATTAATCAAGTTTACGTTTATTTTTTATTTTGTTAAATTTGTATCACCTCTTAATAATTTTGTTTTTACACGTGTATTTTAGATTATTTTTAGCATTGCTCTCCTGTATGAATCATGGGACATGTCAAGTGTATTGTATTTTCTACCTATACATGCGTATTAGTATCTGTCTTATCCTCGTAGTATCTTTATGTTTCCATCCTTGTCCTTTTCCTTTTATCACACTTCGTGCAACTATTAAGATGCCAAACTGCATTTCATTTATGCACCATTTTCCCACTTTCCGTGGTTTTAACCCAAAAATGGAGGATCAAACCTTGAAACAGAAGTAAGAAAATAAAACAAGAGAGGTTACACTGACGAAAGCATTGTAAAATATTACACGATTGCTTTGTGATAAGTTCACCATTAGGGCAAAGGTAACAATCAAATTTAGGGAGTTTATGAATAATAGGTGAGAGTGTTTGGTAGTACTGAATGTTGAAGCGGTTGTTAGTGGTTAGAATGGTTCTGGTGATAGTGAAGCTTCTCCAGTGGTGACGTTGTGTGATTGTAATGAATGAAGATGAGTGCAGTGAAGGTAACAATAATGAGACGATGATAAAAGAAGTGTGTCGTATATTGTTAATAATGACGGTGAGGTGGTTAAGATAGGGAGAGAGTGGATTGTAGACACCAGTGACAATGATAACAATAACATAAAAACTATGACAAAGGTGTGGAGGTGATGGAGGAGTTAATGAAATTTGGTAGTGCCGTATTGGCAATGTTTCTGGTTCAAATTGGTAGCCAAATGACCATGGTTAGTTATGATGTTATGACTGACAAAATTATGCAAAACATTTATAGATAATAATGAATTTATTCTTCTAGGTACAGGAGTGTGCCAAGTCATAATCCATTATACTTAATCTGTCAAATATCTCAACCCCAGTTAAATTAACACGCCATTGAAGTTTTACACCAGTTTTGAATCTGTAAGGTTTTGAACAGTGGATCAAAAAAAAAAAGAGACTTACTGTTTTAATGTAGTAAGGAAGGTAGCTTTGAATCTGATGCTTTGGAGATCAGCTAATGGACAAAAAAGAACTTGGCTAAATGATTTCAACAAACTGTGGAGTTAACAATCAAAACAATCTGGCAAACTTAACTTACTTTTGAGTATATTTGAATGTACATTATTTAGGAACATGTTCATGACAACCTTATCCAAACTATGATGAGGAAAAGGAAAAGAAAAAAGCAAAAGAAAATGCCCTGCTTTTCCAAGTGTTGTCCTTGCTTTCTGTTTCCTTAACCGAAAGGCCAGGCTGACACGTTGAAGCAGAATGTCACAGGTCACAAAAGCCGAACCATGAAACCCCACACATATGCTGGGAACTTGTTTCCTATAGAAGAAGAACTCGCTAAAAAAAAAGCAATTTTACATCTATTGACAAAGCAAGCCTGACAGTTCATCCATGTGTGCACAACCATTGAACCCATTAACAAGATCTGTCACTTAACTATCGTCTTGAGCATAGATTCCATTTTTTCTTTGTCCCTACACTTGCTGATCAAGTCTAGATACTTCATAGCATCACAAGAAGGGAGACCTTCAAGAAGAAGCTTCAATAACCGACTGTGTGTTCCTTGCATCACGTCAAAACACTGCTCTAATGCACTCAATTCCTGTTCTTTGCTCAACTCCAAAGCCTCCATTAGTGGAAGTATTTCCACCTCCTCTTCCGCAAAATGTTGTTTGCATTTCCCCTAAAAAAGTTATCAACGAAATCACACAACAAATAAACACACACAACACACCCAGATATCAAATTGACATGGGTAAAAAGAACTACAGAAAATGCAAAAATCAAGTACAATTGACAGTCTTTTCCTGCTGAGTAAAATCGGTTGTATGGATCACGCCACAAATAGTTGTGTTTGGTTCCATAATCCAGATGTTTTTCACGTTCAATAAGAAGCTAATAGTGTTATTTTGGAAACACGTTTTGCCCTTAAACACATTCATGGTGTGAAAAGCACAAACTAAAACCAACGGTGTTCACTTTTAACCTAAAATAAACAACACATCTAGATCCGTTTCCAAACACAGAGTAATAGTTACAGTTTCCACATCCCAGATTTGATTTCCTATTTCTCAACAGGTTTTCAACCATGGCAAAGTCAAATAGAATTCAAAACATCCAAATTTAGAGCATGACAAATAGAATTATTTGGGTGCTGAACATACCAGCAATGACTTCAGCCGAGTAAAAACACTGTACAAAGCCTCTTGGTAATCAGGGCTGCCAGAGTCCAAAACCCCAACAGATTTGATGACTTCTTTTATGCCATTCATAAGAGGTAGGTCCCTAGCATGTTCTTCTTTTGCAGCTTTAGCAAGCCCTGCATTTTTTTTTCTCAAAAACAATTACCACATAACAAACATACATTCGTTCATCCATTCACAGCATTGCTTCAAAGGCAAGTAAAATTTCACATGGGCTATACGACCAAACCATACACAGCAAACTATGTGGCAAAAACTTTATAAAACGATAACTACAACAAAATATATATAAAAAGAATGAAAATTGTGCCGGTAGCTACCTCGATCGGCGTGATCGAAAATAGGGAAGAGGACGGTTTCTTCCATCTGTGCGTGCTCCACCATGATCTCAAGCAGCTCCGAGTAGCTCCTGGCGAATTTCCTAATCTCCATCCTGGGAGTCCCCATGGAGGGATCAACGATCTTCCTTCCACCACGTGTAGTCAGATCCTCCGCCCACCTCACCATCCGCTCCAAGTGCCACAGCATGCTGGTGTGTTGCACCCGCGTCAAACTCGTCAACAACGGCGCCGTTTCATCCTCCCTCACGTTCCTGCTCCCTACGGAGGGCCCAGGGAACCGCGCGTCGATGAAACGCAGCAACGTCTCGCGTGACCCCGACACAACCTCCGATCCCACCTGCAGCGTCACCGCAGCCTCCTGTTCGTTTCCTCCCACGCGCTCCGTCTCCACGAAGTCCAACGAAACCTCCCTGTGGAGGAGCGCGAACCGAATGTACGCCGCGAGAATACTCTTCGGCGAGCCATGTAACCGGACGGTGGGATACACTCTCGCGCCGTCGCGTGAGACTATCTCTGCAGTTAATTTCTCCGACTTCCCGCAACAGTTCCCCATGAAAAAATGGTTGGGTTTAGGATTGGATTGGATTAAGATACCCGTTGTAGTGGAAGTGTCTGTTCTTCCTTAATAGGAATAAAATTGAGATAGATGACTCTTAAACGAACTGAAAACGACACCGCATTTGAGATTCTATTGTCACGCTATTGCTGTGCGAGTGAAGAGAAGGATTTGATATGGTTTTGACCCGAGTCTGCTGCATTGGCTTCCATGTGAAGCCATGAATGGATACTATAACTCTGTTTTATGCTTAGTTTTGAAGAAACAGAGAAAGCAAAATCTACTCCTTTTTTCTGCACTCAATTTTACAACGTGAATAGTTTTGACCATAAACATCTACAGGATGCAATCTAATCTCACACTTCTCATTTCTTAATTATGCAAAAAAAAAAAAAAGTGTGAGTGGAAGCATCTACTGGATCCTCAACCTCAGCACGTGCCAAGGTTTTTGGGCTTAGTTGATCCTTGAGAGATACGTGATCTCGTAAACTACGTCCATGTATTATTATTATTATTATTATTGTATTATTATAAATAATCTAAAATACATTAAAAACAGTACACGAGGAAACAAGAAAACTGGGTCAGATTAACTTATGCAAATACTGTTGGTCAACACCAAATTTTCCATGCATTTAATACTCTCTTTTTCTGAAATTTCATTAACAACTTTCTTTACTACACACAGGCTATTTTTAATTTTTTCATATGTAATTTATTTCTAGTTCTTTTAAATATTAAAAAAATAATATTTTCTTTTTTTTAATATTATATGACATTTTTAACTGTTTGTGAATTAAAAGAATGTGAATTTATAATTTTTAATAAATGTTTATGATAAGACTTACAATTAAAATTCACTGGATTTACATTAACTAAAATTTCATTTCAGTAAAAGAAAAAGTTATTTAAGAATTAAGAGTGCTTATTCAAGTGCATTATTTAAGTGAGTCAATGGGACTTTTGTGATGAAGTATTTATTATTTATTAATTTTACTTGTTCCTTTATGTATTAAGTTAAAAATAAAAATATTTTTTATTTTTTTATTTTAAAAACTTTAGAAAAAGGAGATAAAAAATTATATAATTATTTTTTCTTAGAATAGTGCATGGCTTATTGTTTCCTCCAAGTAACCGTTAGATTATGTTCTGTTGTCTAGTAATCCTTGGCTCTGGTGCCAACATTTAATGAGCCAAGATGAACAAATTCTTTTATTTCTTATTAAAAAAACATTTTTTTATATAACATACAGATAAGCATTTTATAATTTTAAATTTCAGAGATAAAATTTGGAAAATGCTGATAAGCACAATCACAAGTTGTAAAACTGAAAGACCTATTTGGGTTTGGTGAATTTGTTTCAATTTCTAATTTTTTTTTAAACAAATAATACTTTTAATACAACTATATAAATTTACATGGAAAATTTCCTCCTGAAATCCAAAATTAATCTTTTACAGATTAAATTACAGCAAAATGCTAGTCCAACTCTACTTTCCTTCCTTTTCAGGTTTAACTAAATCTTAAAAATAATGGTGATACTTGGAGTCATTAATTTATATTTAATGTTACTAAATTAATGTTCTGATGGAATGAACCAATCAAATTATTTAGAGTGGTAATCTTATGATACTAAAACTATAATATTTTAATTAATCATATTTAACACTCTAAGATCATTTTTTTTTATTTATACTTATATTATTTTTAATTTTTTTATAATTAAAACATATAGATCACAATTAATTTTTTCTGTTACACAACAAAGTTTGATATTTTATTAAAGACTTACTTATATTTCAACTTTTTTTATAAATTTAAATATTTTGAGTTACACTTTTATTAAATTTTTAATGATATATTGAAAACTTAAAAAACTTTATCTTCTTTTAATGACATTCATATGATTTATTTATTTTGTTAATAAGATGACATAAATGTGACATTAAATTATAATCACGTTAATTAATGGAAAAAATTAAGTTACAAGAATTCAATGAGAAAATATATATTTTTTTAATACGATTACACAAACTTATTTAGAATTCAATTGAAAATATATAATTCTTAAATAGTTGTATATAAAAAAATGGATACAAACATATAGATAATAAATATATATTTGTTTAAGTGTAAGTGTTAGTATAGTAGAAATTACACTTTTATTGACATGTCTTACTTGTAATTATAATAATATAATTAGGAATCTAAGTATGACTTTTAAAAATTTCATTAAGTACAGATAAAAAAATTGAGTGATATATTAATGAATATTAAATCTAAAATTTATGTTAAAGATAATGTCAAATTTATTACACATGTATCTAACATAAGTTCTGGATTTTATTAATTTTTTTCTTAAAAAACGTTTTCAATAAATATAAGGCAGTTTTTTTCTATAAAGTATTTTAACTTTAGATACTTAAATTCATTATTAAAATCATATTTAACTTGATTATCACACTCACTGAAAACTTATTTTCAAATATAATTAAAGATGACCATAATAACAGTTGCAGAGTTTTATTGAGCTGAGACTCCGATATTTTTCATATTATTAAATTAACTTATAAGTAAAAACTAATTTATTTTAATTTTAATATATTTTTATATGTTTGACATTTTAAAATTTGTGTACATCTACGACACATTCATAACATTCTTTTTGAAAATGATCACGACATACCAATACAATTTATCAATTTATGTATATTTCATTTATGTAAGTGGTACTTTGTGTTATATATATATATATATAAATAAGTATTACTTGGATTAAAAATTAATTAAACATTTTAATCTAAAATTAGTGTAATATTTATATAAAAATTAAATTTATTTTAAAAAAATATTGTTTTATTTTTAAAAATAAATAAAAATAATATATAAAAAAATTAAATTAAATATAAAACTGGTCATTATATTAACATGTGTCATGGACCTTTACCTGGCATCATCATCATTATTATTATCATTATCATTATCATTATCATTATCATTATCATTATCATTATTATTATTATTATTATTATTATTATTATTATTATTATTATTATTATTATTATTATTATTATTATTATTATTATTATTATTATTATTATTATTATTATTATTATTATTATTATTATTATTATTATTATTATTATTATTATTATTATTATTATTATTATTATTATTATTATTATTATTATTATTATTATTATTATTATTATTATTATTATTATTATTATTATTATTATTATTATTATTATTATTATTATTATTATTATTATTATTATTATTATTATTATTATTATTATTATTATTATTATTATTATTATTATTATTATTATTATTATTATTATTATTATTATTATTATTATTATTATTATTATTATTATTATTATTATTATTATTATTATTATTATTATTATTATTATTATTATTATTATTATTATTATTATTATTATTATTATTATTATTATTATTATTATTATTATTATTATTATTATTATTATTATTATTATTATTATTATTATTATTATTATTATTATTATTATTATTATTATTATTATTATTATTATTATTATTATTATTATTATTATTATTATTATTATTATTATTATTATTATTATTATTATTATTTCTTCGTGAACATATGTTAAGAAAAAAATAAAAAGCTACGACATAAGTTTCATTATTTGTCAATTATTTATATAATTTTATAAAAAAATTAACAAAATAATAAAAATTTAAACTTTAATAAAAAATAATATTAAAATTAAATCGATAAAATCTATAAAAATAAAAGTAAAGACTAGATTAATATTTTAATCTAAAATTTTTTGTACATTGACACATACCCTGTACAAATACAATTTATGTAAACTAAATAGAAAAATCTGGTTGCGTATGGTTGTAGATAGTACTAATAATAATGTGCATTGGTTGAGAGTAAAGTTGATTTATGAGAAATAGAATGGGCAAAGTAGCCGTTATAGGGAATGAGTGGATGATAGAAGATGTAAAGAACACATGTGCAAGTTGCCATGTGAGTTAGGTATAAGCTATGAAGTCAGCATATGTAAGTTTCCTTATTGAGTCGTGGATAATAATGTCCAAATGGTGGACCATGTTTAGGTTAATGTTGGTCATTTCAGAAATGTACCACAAAAACCATTCTTTCTTCTCTAATTCAATAAAAACTAAAGACTTTACTCTTCTAACAGTTATTACAAATGTTGTTTCCTCAGTTGTGCAGTGTTGGGTGTACGAGGAAGAAGACATATGTTTCTTTGTGAAGGAAGGGGTAAGAATATTGTCATCAAAGACCACTACATATAGATTGAATCAAGGATTTATGGAAGAAGTTGTGTGAAAAGTTGGAGTATTATCCTCAAAGGATGCATATTGAGAAAAAAAAATCAATAATCTTGCTGAAAATTTCATGTTTGTGCAACAAATATCATCAAACCATGCTAACCCCACATGCTCCCATGATGTTTTTATTGATGAAAATCTACGTGTGAGTAAAATGGACTCTCCTTGTGTTATATTTGCTACCAATGAAAGAACTCAAACTATAAGCTATTATTTCCATACTATTGCTTCCAGCACCTCCAATATTCCAAATGCACCTCACACTAACCAAAAAGACTAAAATACCCTTTAGTATTACACCATTTCATTATTTTCATTATTATCACTGCTCTTGTTGTTAATGCTTTCACCGTTGAAGAAGAAAAGAATGATGTAAAAGAAGAATAAACGGGAAAATGCAAAAACATCATTTCAAAATTTTTGGAACACATTTTGTGAAGTGTTTAAAAAGAAAAGTCATTTCAAAATGTATTATGAAAATTTCTATTCCAGAAAAGTTAATTTAGAATGAACTAAATGTATTTTGAAAATTTTGTTTCATAATTTTCATTTATAAAATTTTATTTTGAATATTCAACTTACTTTTTATGGATGTAAAATAGTTATTTTAAAAAGTTGAGGCTGCACAAAGATATTGTAAGAATGTAGGAAATAAAAACTTTACTTTTATGAGTCTTTGATGCTTTGGGCCTTTCACTGTGTTGGTAATAGTCCCAAGAAAGATGATTACTTCCTACACCACCTCTTATTGCTTTCTGCACCATCACATACCAAAAACACTCATCTTCAATAGATTTCGAAATCCGTTAAAATTTTCGAAAATTTCTTAAACAGATTTTGAAATTCGTTTTAAAAAATTTCCTTAACGGATTTCGACATCCATTAAAGGAAAATTTTTTCAACGAATTTTGACATTCGCTAAAGAATTTTTCAAAAACTTCAACGAATTTTAACACTTTATGTTCTAGCTGAATAATATCATGTGTGTGATGATTCTTTTTATAGTTTATACTATAATATTGGGATCTTACAACTTTTTCTTATAATGTAATTACTTTTTATCAGGAGTAGTTAATTGAATTTTAAAAAACAGTTATACCATAATAAATAATAAAATAAATTATATCAATAAATTACTAAATATATGTATTGATATTTATATAAAGAGCTAATTACATTTCTATCTTTATATATTTTTTATTTAAATAATAAGCTGATATATAAAATATAATTCTAATCCAAAGAATTAAAGATTATGAAAAATGAATGGTTATATTATTTTGGGTGGAAAAGTTAACTAATTATACTTGGTTGAGAAGTTACACTCTCGTGTTAAGACACGATAGAAGTAGTTAAATATGTTTTTGGTCACTTAACTTTTAGTGAAAATTGAAATTAGTCTCTCTTCAAAATTTTGACCTAATTTAGTCCCCAAACTTTATAAATGTGTGAATTTAGTTCTTTTAACTAAATTTTGTTAGGTTTATTTCATGTTTCAAGTGCATTTCATGATGACATTTGAGTTGTTTATACCTTTTGACATATTTTTGTTTCAATGTTAACTGAGAAATGGGTTTGAAACATCAAACAATGTTTAACATAAAATTTGGGACTAAATCAGTTAAAAGTTTTGAAGAGGGACTAATTTCACTTTTGACCGAAATTTAAAAGATCAAAAACATATTTAACCCTAAGAAATTTCTCCTGATTACATCATTAAATAAAAAAATAACATTAATATGATTAAAAAACTGTACTATTTTACATATTTGTATATATTACAAATAAAATGTAATTCTAAAATTTTAATAAAATGATTTATTATAAAATTTAATTTATAACTAACTCAAACAAATTACAATTTTATCATATTAAAAATATATTTAATGTTATTATTTTTATGAATAATTAGTTATTATATATACATATATATATATAATTGTATGTATTTATCTTTACAAAAATAATATTAAAAAGTTATGTAACTTTTGTTTTTAAAAAGATAAATTATGTATTAAATATAGAGAAATTATTTATTTTATAATTTTTTTAAAATTAGTATTTTTAAAATTATGTAGCAGTTATTTTTAAATAAAAAATAATTAATTTATTGTAAAATAAGTAAAATTTATTTAATTTTATAGAACAGATTAATATTTATGTTATAAGTAAAATATTAGTTAAAAAAATATAATAAATTGTATAATTTTACATAATAATATAGAAAAATAAGTTTTATAATTTTATTATAATTTTTTTTGTAAAAAAATATAAAATGACATTTTTAGAAAAATGATTTATTTTAAAATAATGAAATTTGTTTATAATATTATGATTTATTTTAAAATGTTTTATTATTAAAATAATTGACTCTTTTTAATTATTATACTTTTTAAAATATAATTTTTTTAAATATTTATATTTTATATTAGTAATTATAATTTAGAGAATTAATTAATTAAAAATTAAAATAAAAGTTATATGTATATAAGTTGTCAAAAAAATCTCTTTATTATAATTATTATTAATGTTATAGATATTTTTTTATATATTTTCAGTACAATAAAATAACCTAGAAAAAAAAAATTAACGAGACCATTTCATTAGATGAACCTCTCTTTGTCTTCCATTGCAATCTTTCTCATCAGTGAAACCATTTCTCCTTCATAGTCTTAGCTCTCTCCTTCTGAGATCAGATCTGCGCTCTCCGATTTCAGATCGCGTTTTGGTAAATTCTCTCACTTGCCACTTTCACTATTTTCTTCTAACTTCCTATTCGTCGTTCAATTGTACCTCATTGAACACCTAACCTCTGGATCTGACGCTGTGGAATAATGTTTATTTTTTGTTCGTAGATTCAATTGGACACAAGAAACCCTCTCTGCTCTTCAAAAATTGAACGGAAAAGATGGTAACAATCCTTACACTCCTCTGGTTTGATACTCGAGGACTGCTTTTTGTTAAACTATTTGACACTTGTTACTTTGTTTTTGTTTCCTTTAGTTTCTTCATGCCATTTGTCTCTTTTTATCTGTTAGCTATATTGATGTTGGTGGAGTGATTCTCCCCCTAGAAATGTTATTTTGGTTATGTGAATGTACTTTTATCCCTTGATCTAGAATTGTAGGCCGAAGGGACTTAATAATCCGTCTTGATCTGTGTGAGGATATAAACCCTTGTATAATGTTTTAACCCCGTGGTGCCGTAGTCCTGGATCTTCTGTTGTAGCTTATGCTGCATGTGTTGCTTTTGCCTATCTTGATTATAGCTCTGAAACTATGAATCTGAATTAGTGCAATGGGTGATTGTAAGATCAATTTTGTTTCAAATGCCAGTTGGGATGGTAAGGGTGGGATGTGTTATGACCGAGTTCACTTGGGAATGGGGTGTGCATATTCTCTTCTTTTTTTTTCAACTTTTTACTTTCCCTTTGCACCGATAATTTTTTTTTTCATTTTACCTGTCTAACAGGTTGTCCTTGCTGCATCCATTGTGAGCAAATCTGGCAAAGGTTAGTTCTCTGCAGACCTCTTAACCTGACTTGTTCATTCCTTGTTGATGGTATTATTTTCAATGATATAGTGTGGTTTTGTTCCCATTTTTAGTCTTCATATTTTTTTTGTACACAACTAAATGAGAAGTTCACCAAAGTGAAGAAAAACATATTAAACATCTATTTAAGGAGCATCTTAAAACAAGTTCTAGAGTATGATCTGAATTTGAATTCTGAACACCCATAAGCTGTAACTACGTTACTTTTATTTTGCACCATTAAAAAAAAAGGTCTCTGTGTGTCTTGATCAGCACAGGGAAACTTGATTTTGAAGTGCACTGTCTGTGTTTAGATGAGCACGTTTGTAAAATTGATTTTGAATGGAAATTGATTTTGGATCAGTTTAATTATATTTTCAAATAAATTTGTGCTAATTTTGTAAAATTTTCAACTTAAAGTAAAGGCTACTTTTTATCACTTATTGTCAAATTAAGATTTGGAGACAAAACCAATCTGACACTAATCTGTATGATAAAGTTGGGAAGCATGACCTGTATGTGTTGTTGTATGTTTTCTATATCTGTATAGTGTATAGGCTATCATCTCATCACACTTTAAGCAGCATATTTATGGAATCCTTTTCATACTTCAATAATTCAATCTGTTAGAATGTAGAATTCTCAATAATACTTTATAAATTGTCATTAATAGATTTTTTTTTTAAATCAGGATTATTTTTTAGTTTATAAAGAAATTTTTTAACAAGAATCGATGATGAATTTGAATGTGCCTAAATAATTACGTATTAGACATCATTGCTCTCATGCTGTCAAGACATTTGCTTTGTTTGCAGTGCTGGTTTCTAGACAGTTTGTGGACATGTCTCGTATCAGAATTGAGGGTCTTCTAGCAGCATTTCCCAAGTTGGTTGGGACTGGAAAACAACACACATATGTTGAGACTGAGAATGTGCGCTATGTTTACCAGCCAATAGAAGCACTGTACCTGCTTCTTGTAACAAACAAAAACAGCAACATACTAGAAGATTTGGAAACTCTGAGACTTCTCTCTAAACTTGTATCCTTTTTCTGATGCCTGAATTTTGACATCTTATGTTATTTTGTTTTCAATTGCTTGTCTTTTGTTATCTGGGTTGTGGCATTAATGGTATTCTCTCCAGTATGACTTATCTCATCTGTGCCTTGTTTACTAATTTCCTGTCATATTGGTTTTCTCAAAAAGTATTAATGGTGCAATCTATTTGTTTATAGGCTTCTCTTACCATAAACATAGCATTTAGTATTTGATTTCTATAGGAAGGGTCAGGAGGGTTTAAGATTGATCAAATGGTTGCAGTGGGAGGTTGTTTTGGATTTATTGGTCTTTTTAGAGTCATTCGGTCAGTCTTTTTCCAAATACCAATATTACAGTCAGTTCATTCCTTAATACTTTTAGGTACCTGAATATTCGTACTCCCTTGATGAAGAGGGTATTTGCAAACATGCCTTTGAGTTGATTTTCGCATTTGATGAAGTCATCTCTCTGGGGCACAAGGAAAATGTGACTGTTGCACAAGTTAAGCAATACTGTGAGATGGAGAGTCATGAAGAGAAGCTGCACAAGTTGGTTTTGCAGAGCAAGATTAATGAAACTAAGGATGTCATGAAGAGAAAAGCTAGTGAGATTGATAAAAGCAAGGTATGATTGAAGGATGTATGTTTCATTATGATGCTTATATTTAAAGCCTGGGATTGCATATCATTTATTAAGTCACGTGTTCTACAGATTGAAAAGAACAGAGGTGATAAAGGAGGATTTGGTCCATTGCAGTCAATGGGCTCCGGTAGAATTGAAAATAGCTTTAGTGATTTGAGTATATCTAGCAGTGGAACTGGTTTTGGAAGCGGCTCTGGTTTTGGATTGACTACTGATGTTGACTCCTTTTCAGCCAAGCCTAAAGGTTGGCTTTCATAGATTTTCTTGAATCCTTCTAGAATGCTTTTTATGTAGTGACTTAAAAGGGTATTGAAGAATGCTGTACCGTGGTTGTGGTTTACTCTATATCCTGAATTAACATTTGTTAAATGAGAGTAACCTTTTCATTTATGTACTTCATTGACCTCTTGCTTAGGTCGTCCCACAACTTCGTCAGCCACTGCTCCACCTAAAGGTCTTGGAATGAAGCTTGGTAAATCTCAGAGGACAAATCAATTTTTGGAATCATTGAAAGCGGAAGGTGAGGTCATTCTTGAAGATGTTCAGCCAAAACTCTCCCAGTCTCGTGGTGCTGCCCCACCACCTACTGATCCCATCACTTTGACCGTTGAGGAGAAACTAAATGTGACACTGAAACGAGATGGTGGTGTCAGTAACTTTGATGTTCAAGGCACATTGTCTCTCCAAATTCTTAACCAAGAGGATGGACATATTCAAGTACAGGTATCACACTCTCACTCTCTTTAAGTTGTGTCTGTCCACTAGGCTTCTGATTTTTAAAATTTGAATAGTTTCTTTTAATTGATTGATTATTTATTGTTATGACAAATTTTTCGCTAAATTTATCAGTATTAAGGGAAAGAAGTTCATATGAAATACTTTTTTCCTATAAGGAAAAGAATCAAAACCTTTTCTGGTAGGTGGGTCAGTTATATGGATCAAATAACACTATTGTGTCATGTCAAGAACAAATTCCTCAGATCTATGAAACAGATTTTTTCCTCTGACTAATATATTTTCTTTACTCTGTCCTCATATACTGTCCACGGTTTGCATGCTTTATAAGAGTAGTATAGCAGGTAGACAATTAATTAATTTTCAAAAGAATAATGTTTCAAAAGCAGCCTGTGTTTGAGCCTGGTGCAATCCTCAAATAAGTTAACCACAAGTTTACCATGACATTTTATTTGAGACCTAGATATAAGTAGCTCTAAGTGTACTTAGTCATTCAAAATAATCTTCTTGTCACGCACAACCAAAGGGAATGAGAACGGATTGCAGTGACAATTCAGTTAGAGGCAGAAAGAGGAAATTGAAAGGAAAAGTGGTGGTTATAATGCCTGTAGTGTGTGATAATAGTGTTGTTTCCTTGGTTTGTTGATGAAGTATTCTGGTGCTTTTGGTATGTAGTGTATATCAAAGCATTTCCTGAAATAATCAATTTGGTTAGCATGGATTTCTAGTTTCTTTCATCATTGAAGCATGAAAAACAAAAAAAGGTATTTGTATGTTTGAAATGCAATTGTCATGCCAATATTTGAACGATTTATTTTATGTGCAGTTTTAATTGTTTTGTTTCAACCTACTGTTTTCAAAATTTCGGCACGGTAATTAATGTTGATCCTCACCTTCCTTCATCTGTAGTGCTCCTAGATATTTTTCTTGCTCAAGACTGGTTTTGAATGCAGAAATAGGCCCAGTAGGTCAATTAAAAATATTAATAGTTGTATGTTGTGCCTTACTTTTGCAGGTCCAAACTGGTGACAATCAAGCTGTCGCTTTCAAGACACACCCTAACATGAATAAAGAATTATTTTCCAATGATTCTATACTAGGCCTAAAGGATCCCAACAGACCTTTCCCCACTGGTCAAGCCAGTGATGCAGGAGGTGTTGGTCTTTTGAAGTGGAGAATGCAAAGTACTGACGAGTCAATGGTGCCGCTTACAAGTGAGTTAATAACTATAATTGATCTTTCTCTCTACTACTTTGTATTGATGTAGTAGTTATAACTTAGTCTGACATTCGTATCTATTCAGTCAACTGTTGGCCTTCATCTTCTGGAAATGAAACGTATGTCAGCATTGAGTATGAGGCTTCATCAATGTTTGATCTGCGGAATGTTGTGATCTTTGTACCTCTTCCAGCTCTTCGTGAAGCCCCATCTGTTAGGCAGATTGATGGGGAATGGAGGTACGGATTTATTTTTCCTTCCTCACAATAAGTGTTAGGGACAACCATAGTGTTTTAGGTTGAATTTTTAAGTAAAAAGCTGATGGTTTTAATTATAAATTATCGTGTTACACATGCTAATCGTGGTTTGCAGTATTAGAAACTTTTAAGTACTGAATCTATTGACTTGATTTGAGTAGATAAGTAAGCTCTATGGTTTTTCTAGATCATGAATTTTTTATTATAATAATTAGTATTTTATTTTTAGTTCTAAATAATTTAATTTCAGGTTACGATCTTGATTTATTATAAAACTGGTTTTGTAGGTATGATTCCAGGAATTCCATTTTGGAGTGGTCTGTCCTTCTAATTGATAATTCCAACCGCAGGTGTGCTAAATCTAGAGTATTTTTTGTGGCTAATTTATTGTTTCTATCTTTCTTTACTTCTGTTTTGTCTGACTAATGTATTTGGCAGTGGGTCCATGGAGTTCGTTGTTCCACTAGCAGATTCATCAGCTTTCTTTCCCATTTCAGTCCGATTTATGGCTACTGATACTTTTAGTGATCTCAAGGTTTGTTTATATTTGAAAAGTTTCAAAATGATATAGTTGAAACCGACATTAATTGACCCGAACATTTATTTAGCGGACTTAAACTTACCCTTTTTTGAATGCTCGTTGCAGGTTACCAACATCATACCGTTGAAGGGTGGTAATCCCCCCAAGTTTGCTCAGAGAACACAATTGATAACGGATAACTACCAAGTTGTGTGATTGACTTTCTCTTGAATTTGAGCTCCTATAACAGTTTTGCTTTTACAGTCGCAGTTCTTTTATGAATAGGATTTTCTTCTCCATGTTGTACTCGCCTCTCGCTTCATGAATTTGTACTTACTAGTTTTACTTCGCAAAGTATGATTTATCAATTAATACTTAAGTGTGTGTATCTGTATGCATCTCCAATCATCCCTTTTCTGTGTGATAGACGAATCTTGTATTTTTCTGAGACATTCGTATCGAATACACTATTCTATTAGATTCAATTAGACGGAGGAATTTAACTTGTAATTTGAATCCTTACTGTATTTAATGTGGAACTTATGCTGCTACAATCATCTCGTTACTATCTGCCCCCACCTCTGTCCCTTAATGTGATATTCGAGTTGGGATTTCTTTCGAATGCTTATAGAAGAAACAATGCTCGGTTGTGTAATGTTGGATTCTTTTATTGACGTACAACCGTTGAAGGACATGCTAATATGCACCAAGCCAAACCCAGGCAATCTCATGGAACAACCATGGCGGAAAAGAAAGTTCTGTCATAGACAGACTTTTTTAACGATGGAATGTTGGGAGACATCAAATTTCTAATTTCATTTTTATAACGTTCCTTGCAGTTAAAAATGGTTTTTTATTTTAGTAAAATGCTTTATCTTTTAATATTAGGGTGCTCAAGAATATGAAAGTGTTTAATATGTAGGGTCAGACAACTCCAGTATTTAAAGACTGACTGCAAATGACTAGAGAATAAGGCGCATAATGATAAAACAAAAAGGGGATTCATTAAAAGTCAGATTCATAGTTTTATTATTACTTATCCTTGTATTATATGTAGAATATCCAGGTTTTTGTTCCCATTGTATTTCTTATTGCGTCACAATTGTTATTGAAAAGGAAAAGTACTTATCCTCCTCTATCAAAGAAAAAAAATTGTGTAAGGATATGCTATGAATGAGAAAGGTGTACATAAAATGGGTCCAGTCCAAGAAAAGACCAACCCAAAAACAAAAAAAATGAAATCAGAAACTTGAACAAACTGAAATAATTTCTTTTATTGAACATATTTACTAAACTTATTTTATATTTATTTGAGTGTTATATTTATAAAGTTTTGAACGCTAAGGATTGTTTTAATAAGAAATTACATTTATTAAAATTTTTTAATATTAAATTTTATTAAATAATTTCAGTTGATACTTTTAATAGTTTTAATATTGAAATTTATACTTGTTAATTTATTTTATATTGATGAAAATTTAAAAATTTAATACGAAACTTATGGACTAAAATTCTGGAAAATGATAGTCTTTTTTTTTCATGATACTAATTGATTTCATCAATATTTATATATATTAATTTCATTGGTGAGTATTTCTTAATTGATTTAGCTTTTCAAGAGCTAATATTTAATGCTTCACTTGGAGATACTCTTTGTTTACCAAAAAATAAAAAAAAAATCACATTAACTAATACATGGACAACTAGACAGTAAACTTTCTCTTCAAATTCCAATGGAATTGTCAGACTTGTATTACTTTATTATCTTTCACCTTACATTATGTGCATATTTTCACCTTACTTGCGATCGGTTTAAATTTTTTTCTTGTTGACCCCAAACATGGGGATATGTGAATATTATGTATGATTGCTTTCGTCATTCTTGTTAAAGTCAAATTGAGATTGAGTTTCCAGCGATTGGTAAGGTGACAGGTCTCAGGCGAATGCTAATGGAAGTTGAGGAAGTATGCAATTGCATAACCCATGCTGCTACAGTTAACAATTTTACTTGAAAAACATAAAAAAACTGGGAAGACAGGGAAAGTGGAAATAGTCTATATAATGCTAAAAACATTGTTGTCATGATATACACAACAAATCCAGATATGGCATCTAAAGTATGAGCTTGATTCAAGATAACTAGCAGTTCTTCACACAAGCTTAATTACAGTCTCTGACAGTAACCACAAATTGCAGTGCCAAATTTCATGTACACGTAGTAAATCATTTTGTGCATCCTGCCTAGTACGGACTTCAACTTCTTGTGGCTCCATCAACATTTAAAACCCCCACAGGCAATAACCCACAGAATTATGATTAAGGTAAGGATTCCTCCTCCCACCATCAGCTTCATTTGGAGATTCTGCAGCCACATCTTCCTTCTCAACTGCCTGCCCTGCCTCTGAAAGCTGTCAGCCTAAATTTAAAAATGAAAATACAATAGCATCAGTATGATTATGTCAGAATTCAGGCTAGTTGATTCAAACAGTGTTTCTTTTAGATAAACAAAGAATTTATTAAAAGGAGATATGCAAATGCTTGATTTGGACAATAATACATACCTGGAACTGCAAGTTTTCTGTTTTGTCCACCAGCAGCTCAATCTTCTCTCCACGATCCAAAACCTTCAAAACGGAAAAAACAAATGTTTTAGAAGTGCTTGATATTGAGAGGAAAGTGGCTTTTGGAAAAAAAGTTGAAATGTTTTAGCAGTCTCTTATTCCAGTTTTTATTTACCAGTTCCATGACAGTTTTAATGTGATGAAAATCTCTTTCCCTCCTAAATCCTGCGCGGATCAAATTCTACAGTAGCACACCTTTCTAAATATCAATCCACCAAACCTACCAACGGCGTCAACATCCTTTTTGTTGGTCTAACTGTTACAATACTGAACTTATGCTTTTAAGCACATACATTTTATGAGTAACCAAAAAGGATATTATTGAATTACAGGCTTTGAAGAACCTACTAATATGCTATGAAGTCAAACCAAGCAATCTCATCAAGCTACCATGGCATAAAATGGACATTTTTCACTTAATATTGAATCCAGAACCTCTCTTGTTAAATAACAATAGAAGATTCAGACAGAGAAGTAAAGGTGCAGTTCTAAATACAGCTAGAGGACCTTATAACCCACAATGGCAGGTATCTACTCAGAAATGTCTCTCTCCAATCAATATAATGGTCCTGCGTGATAGGAAGGATCTTTTAGTATGCCTAAACTTAAAATTGAAATATATGAAAACATTTCTTGTATGAGCCATGTCATTTTACCAGCCACATGAGTGCAATCTCTTATGCATGCACTGGAAACTGATATTTTTTATACATGTACGAGTAAAAGCCTCAGCAGCCAGTCTTCATATACCCACCCTCAGGTGGCCCAATCCCCATGCTGTCCTAAAGCCAAAATACAAAAGTATGAATCTTTTCATTGTTGAACACTAATGCTATTTTTTACTCTCTTTTAAGGATATTGAAGAGAGATTAAGAAACGTAACTAATATCCTTATCCATATGCATATTGAAAATATTAGTAATTCCCTAGCATTCCTTTCATCTATTCTATTAACAACGCAAATAAATAGCTAATATTTGCATGATAAAACACAGACAATAAAAGAGTTTATAAAGTTAAAGTATTTTATTTTAACTTGTAGAGAACATCTTCCACTAAGTAATTCTTCAATAGACACAAACCTAACATTTGATCTTTTGAACACAACCAAACAAAATATTACACATAAAAGAAGACAATAAGAAAAGTTAATTAACAATAACAATAAGAAAGAAGCACAGTCCTTATGCAGTGACACATTCTCTGCCCTCCTCTGTTTTTAAATTGTTCTTTTCCCTTCTTGAGCAATATAAAAACTCCATCGGTGGTCCACAAAGAAAAATGGAAATGAAGTCCAGTGTAGTCAACTATGAAAACAACTGAAGTTTAACTTCAATTCATGTTCTCATGAATCAAATATTGTGTCTAATTTTATTAAGAAAAAATGGACATCAAATGCCATGGTCCATAGAACATGATTTCACTTTTCAGAAATGGGAAGGCAAAACGAAAAAGCAGAGAAAGGGCTGGGGGGATAACAAGCCCACTACCCAGCCTTTCTTATTTTTCTACATTTTTTCGTGTTGTAACTTTTATTGTTTGTGACCAAAGACAAATTGGAATAACCGCATACACTAACATAGTCATGTATTTCTCGAGCAATGGTAAATGTCTCTTTATTAACATTTTGTGCATTTTATGTAAAGTGTTTATCCACCCCTAAATTCATGTTAGTGTACGTAGGCTGTATCATATCTTATATTAGAAAGAGTTTTCAGTATGTCCATATCTGTGTAATGTCGCAACAATACAAATACGTATTAAGTATACGGGCTTCAAACGTTTGAGTCCCACTAGGAAACCACATTAAAATTCTCTAGTTTGAAACAGAGTACAATATTAAATGTTATCATCCCTTATTTACAACGCCTTCCACCCTTCCCCAAAATTAAGGAAAATCGGACAAACGATAACGTCATATCCAGTGATAAACTAGTTAGAATTTATACAAGGATTCAGAGCTAAGAAACATTGATAGCAGCCATTTTAGGCTTAGTTACATATACGTACCTTCTCAATATTGTCCATCATTATCCCCTTAACCTCAGTTATTTGAGCCTTCAACTTTGATAGTTTACTTATTTCTTCGGGATGATTCAAGCAATACTGCATATGCTCCTTGAGTGCTGGTCTGCACAACCAGATACAAAATTTAAAACAACTACAAACAGAAGTAAACAAAAAATTTAAAAGGATCAGTAACAACGAACCCAAATTCTCTATCAAGATTATACGCAATGCTAAATCTGTCCTCAAACAAATCATCGTCATCGTCATCATCAGCAAGTGGATGGGTACTGTCATTATTAATGCTTGCTCCATAGCGCTTCATAAAGTCATCCTTCACCCGTTCAAGAAATACAAAAGGAACACTCCTTCCAACTGACTCATCAGCAACAACAAGGAAAACTGCAAAGCGGAGAACAAAATTCTGACATTGGCATATGTATTAACAATCAAATCAGTAGAGCAGGCAATAATACATAAAAACAAATACCAAATCCATTGTCTATGAGGAAGTTAAAGGTGTGCCCATCACAGGAATACGTGTATTTGCTGCTATTTGAAGGTAGCTTCTGCAGGCACTGAACAGCAATAGTACTGAAATTCCCCGTATACTGTGTGTGTTCCGCTAAAACAACAGTTCCTTTGGCAACAAAGCTATATATTAAACCCCTCTGATTCATCTCCAATCTCCAACAAATTCCTCCACGAGAAGGTACAAACAATTACACCAACACCTGAATCCCACAACAACCAATCCAAGATGTAAATAACGAAAAATCAATCACAAAAACCCACGTACTGTAATCGCAATTCGAAAATACTGACCAAACAGGCTCTAAATGCTAAATCCAATCGAAGTCAGAACCTAAACCTAATTTGATTCAATTCAAGATACAGTGATCGCAAGAGAAATCTCGATTCACGATAAGGGAAGGGGGTTGCATCAGTGCATGCACATTCTGAATTTGTCAAAAATCTAAACTCAAAAATTCGTGTCAGATCCCGAATTTTATAGGTCATAGGTGAAAATGGGGGAAAAGACGGGTTTCGAACCCTGTGATCTAATCGAGAGATTTACGAATCTGAATGCAAATTGTTTGTTAGATGAAAATTGAGAGACAGAAAGAGAAAATCTAACAACCTGAGTGAAGTAGCGAAGGAGATGATCAATCAAAAACCTAACACAAACACAATCACAACGCTAGCTTTTATCAGTTTGGGGAAGAAACTTGGTCTTTCAGCTTCTTCTGCGTAACACAAATTCTTCAATTTTCTTCTTTTTATTTATTTATTTATTTCTTTGCGTGTGTATTAAGATAAGAAGGAATGACACCCACACTGATTTTCTAATCAGACAATTACAAGTTTGAATTTCATTATGAAAATAATAATACAGTAAGTAGACTAAGTTAAAAAAAATACCATTACACACTTTCACATTCACGTAATAAAATTTTGTATTTTTTTAAATAAGGATAATGTCAAATATAAAAAATTTAGGTGTTTGAAATAATTATTTTTAAATCAAACACAAAAATGTAAAGAACCTGTCACATGTTTAACATTATATATTTTTAAATAAATCAGGTGTTAAATAGTTAATTAAATTTCAGACAAAATTTTCCAACGTTAAAAATAACATGAAAACTATATTTTATCTCGTTTCAGATTCTATCTCTTAATAATACAATGTGTTTCTTTTTATCATGAGATTTTCTAAGAATAAAAAGCATGGAAATAAAAAATGGATTATAAGACTTTTATGTACAAATTTATATTATCGTTCAATCATTATAAGTCATTTTTGCCACTCTTACTTGTGCTTTTTTTCTTTAAATATATAGTCTACAATTGAAAAACTGTGTAACTCTATTTATAACATTAGCTTGTTAGGATCAGAATAATAATAAATGATAAAACCTATAGACTTAATTATGCGAAGCAATTGAATTTTTTTCTTAATTTTAAGTAATAAACACCACATTATATCAATAGAGAAAAAAATTGTGTTTTTTTCTGAATGCAAAAAAAAAATGTTATATGTTGTTATATTAAGTGTGATAATATTTGAAGAATTTGATTAACATATATTAATTGTTTTTTATTAATAAGTTGATGATCCGAGTAGAAATGTAATATCCTTAAATAAGATATAGATAAAAGATATAATTTTGATTGGGAGAGTAAAACTACCACAAATTCAACCAACTTAATACAATAATTAATCACTAATAAAACCGATACTAATTAATAAATCTTATAACTTTGTAATTAGCTGATACATAACAAAAACAACATTAACCTCTCCCTATGATGTCTCATCATTGTTTGCTTCATGAAAACTTGTTCCTGTACCAATACACGCCCTTCTGGGAAGTTCCTTCGTCTGGTTCCACATAAAGACACTCTTTTGCTTCTCTCCACAGAGCTTTGTAAAATGGGGTGTTATCAAATTGATAGTACTCACCCAATATAGCTTTGATTGCATTGGTTGCCTCCATTGCATGGTAATGAGGCATTGTAGAGAAGAGATGGTGAGTGACATGCGTATCAGTTATATGATGAAACGCCTTGTTCAGAATCCCATAATCTCTGTCCATAGTGGCCAAAGCACCCTTCAGCCACTCCCATTCCGATGAATCATAGTGAGGCAAGGAAGAGTGTGTGTGCTGCAAATATGTGATGGTCACAAGAAAGCCATTTACAATGAGCAATGGCACCCCATAAACACAGACCAGCCAAACCAGCCCTCTCACAGTTGCAATGCGGTGGAGAAAGAATGCGACACAAAACAAAGAAACATCAGAAACGTAGATCAGAAGCCTTTCACTGTCTGAGTATATGGGAGCATAAGGGTGGTAGTGGCTTGCAAAACGATCATAGCGTCTACCAGAAACATTGAAGGCTAAATACAAAGGCCATCCCAGTGTGAGCGTGATGAGAAGAGAAACAGCCCTTCCTATTCGATTGTTGAAGCACTTGTGGTACCATGAAACATTGGATTTGGATTTTGGGACAAACACTTCATCTTTACCACACCTCACATACAAGTATTTCCTCTTAAAACCAATGTGCTCTCTTGCATGCATGCTCTTCTATCATCTTTACCACACCTCACATACAAGTATTTCCTCTTCTGTTAATGAACTCCACTGTAGAAACTATAAAATAAGTAAACAAGTTACATGAATTGATAGTTCAAACTTCAATCTCTTTGGGTTTTGTAAATTCAAATCAAGCAAAAAGAAGAAATAAACAATGTCAAAAATATATATGCAGGACATACTGTTGAAGTATTAAAAAAGATGGGAAAGTTTTATTGAGATGTGAAATAACATATACTCACTGTAGAATAATCTTCTGGATTCTGAAAATTCAAAATTGAATTGTGTTTAGCTCATTTTAAGTTATGAAATACTATCTTGATTGAATCGGTTTTGATGTTTTGAGTTTTTCTTTGTCTCGATATTCTAGATTTCATCCAGTCTTGTCTTGACATTCCAAGTTTTGATTGGTCTCTGCTGATTCTGGTTAGCTTGAACTAAGTTCGATAAGTTTCACATTCAATATATGATAAGTTTAGTTAATCTCGCGTTAAGTCAATAGATCTAGTTTCACATTCAATTGAGTTGTGTTAGGTCTGAGTTTGATCGAGTCAAATGGAATTTAGGTTAGTCGAGCTTAGATCAAGCTAAATCCAGTTCAATCCAAATCAAGTCAAATTGAAATGGAATTGAGAAGGACCGAACTACATTGGATAAAGTCAAATTAAATTTATGTTCAATTCATATCAAAGTGAGGTGAGATGATTCCATATTAATTACGTCGATCCCATATTGAATATAATTTGATTTACAAAATGAATTTAATTTATATTTAATCCAATTTAAGTTGGATTGAAAAAAACTAAATAAATGTAATTTAGTTAAAATAAATTTAAATTTCAGATCCAACCTACTTTATTACATATGGATTAAGACTTTATTTTTAAAAATTGAATCCTTAATGACTCTATTTCATTAATAATAATCGCGTGTTGTTGTTGATTGATTGATTTGTTTTTAAATACACAAGGAAAGCAAATTCCAAAACATGCGACTAAACTTACAAGCTGAAAATCATGGTAGTTCATTTTGTAGGTGATCTTATATCCCATGAAATACTAAAATATAACAAGAGAAAGGAACAAAAGAAGTTAACCAAGCAACCCTTTATAAATTTTCCTAGAAACATACCATATAATAAGATAAGAAATATAAAATCAATACTTAATTTTTGTTTTTCTTTTATATTTAAATATTTTACCATTCTCACAGGAAAAATAAAATTACTAGTAATTGTTACACGAAGAGGTGAGAAGTAGAAAAGAGAACTCAAATTTCTTTGTTTGAAAATGTCAAATATAATGGAGTATTTAGGTGCTAACCGAGATATTTAGATTCTTTTTTAGGAGCTTCTTTATTCAAAGTTTTATTATGAAATTTTTTACATCTTTCACTAATTAAGACTTTCTAGATATTCTACACTTTACATAAGGAAATTCAAGAGGTATCTAGATATTTATATATTTCAAATTACAATAACATTTATCCCCTTTACTTTGAAATTTTCTTCAACACACTAATCTTTGCTCTTAGCATTTGAAACACTTCAAACATTAGCGGCTTCGTGAAGGTATATGCAACTTGATCTTGAGTCTTGACATACTTGAGCTTCACTTCTTTTAAAAAAATGCATTATCTTCTGAAATGATATCTCGTGTTTGTATGTTTGCTTAGATAATGAAATATTGTATTATTTCTTAGTGCTTGTTATCTATGCAAATCTTCATAGCTTCCATTTGTGACAAATGAAGTTCTTTCAATAATCTCCAAAGCCAAATTACATGACAAGTGCGTCAAGTTGTTGCAACATATTTTGACTCACATGTTAAAAGTGTGACAATAGTTGTTTTGTTTAAACTCCATGAAAAACACATCCTCTCATGAAAAATATAAAGTTATTGGTGCTTTTTTTATCATTGATATCTTTGACATAATCACTATTAAAAAATTCATATAGTTTGAAATCATTATAAAATTAATAAAATAATCCATAGTCAAGAGTATCTTTTAGAAAATGGAGTATCTCTTAATAACTTTATGTGAGTAGAAATGGGAGTCTCCATGAATCGACTCACTACTCTAACTGCATACAAAATATCGAGTCTTGTACATGTTAGGTATCTCAAACATCCCACAAGACTTATTTTATATTAATTTTCTATTTTATTTACAAATTTGAACATGGTATGAAATTGGTTAATAAAAAATAATCAATATATATATTTTTGTTAATATTTAATAATATAAAATAAAACTATCCATTTATTCAATAATAAAAGTTAAAATGATTCTGAATTGAAGTGTTGTGTGATAAGCTGATAAAGAATCTTTCTGATGAAGAAAGATAAAATATCAGTATCACATGTCATGTCAGTATATTAAATTAATCTTTAAAGTAAATCACAATAAATACTCTTTCTGAGTATGATGATGAAGAAAGATAAAATGTCAGTATCACATGTCATGTCAGTATATTAAATTAATCTTTAAAGTAAATCACAATAAATACTCTTTCTGAGTATGATGATGAAGAAAGATAAA